CAGGTCCAGCTTCAACTCCGCCATATTCTTCACCACCACTCCCATGGCCTCAGCATCTCTCTGAGACCTCGCCTGCCTAGACCGCGCGAGGCGAGTAGCAGCCTCGGCAGCACGAGCAGCCTCCTCGGAAGTTCGAGCAGCCTCCTCGGTAGCTCGCGCCTACCTCGAGTATCTCTCCACCTGGTTCGCTAAGGCGTGAATTGAAGAGTTCACCTATCAAAGGAAAACAGGATCAAAGGAACGAATAGAAGAATGAAAGCCGAAGAACTCTAAAGAAGGGAGCACTTACCACCATAGCGTGAGTAACGGCATGGCAGGCCACTTGGTGCAGAGGGAGCTCGGTCCACGCCGCAACTTCCTCGGGAAATATCGCCTCCTTACTCCGTTGAAGAGCATGAACAGGCGACAGCACGCTCCTGAAGCCCTCGGGGGCCTTCGAGCCCGACGGCCCAGCTCGCGTATGGGCAGACTCGGAGTAAGCAGGTGCCCCAGTGTGCGTGGTTTCGGCATAAGGAGCCCCCGCCGGCTCCTGAGTAGGCGGAACCATCTCGGGCTCCTCCGCCGGATAGTCCGGCACCTCGGGCTCCGCACCTTGGGACGGTTCGGCGCGAGCTCGCTTAGCCACCCGTTTTCTCCTCTTCCTGCCCTGGAACAAGTGTCCACCTCGGGTTCCTCGAGAGTCCATCGTACCTGCGAAAAGGAGTTCGGCATCAGTAAGACACGTAAAAGAAGAGCAAGACAGGATCGCTAGGGAAAGAACCTACCCGAACTCAGGCCCGCAGCAATAAGCTTGGCCTCCGTCAGATACCGTTGACACTCTATCCCGAGCCGCACCCATTGCTGGAGGCCCTTCGCCGTCTCCTTATTAAGTGTGATGCCGGAGTCGGGAGCGGCCATCCCCCAGCCGGTCTGAAACGGCCACCCCAGCGCACTTCGCACCCTGAAATAGTCCCGCTTCCACGCTGGGACCTTATTAGGGAGTCCGTGTAAGAGCTTGAAGCCCAGGCGAGGGGATAGGTTGTATGCCCGCCTACGCCTAGGAAGGGGACCCGCTTGCTTTTTCAGCATTAAAATGGAGGAGAAAATCTCCAGGTCCAAAGGGAAGTTCTCGTCACAAAATAAAGAAATCGTCCCCACTAAGTTCCTAATGGAGTTCAGGTGAAGCTGGCCGACCGTCACACCGAAGTGGTTTAGAA